AATGTTCATATCAACCAGCTCCTGTCAGCACAGACCTCCCTTGGGAATGGGAAGATTCCCCGGGTGGGGCAGTTTGCTCAGAGAAAGGTGTAAAAACAGCCTGAGCTGCCAGCCCTGTCTGTTGTTAGCATACCCACAGTCCGATGGCCAGGTTACAACACAACTGAGGCTGGGACAGCTAGCTTTGGTCTCATGCCAGGCCTGAGGCCACACCCGGCACGAGGAGGAGAGGAGATTGCAAATCCTGCGATCACTCAGGCAGCACATCTGTATTGAGCAGCTACTCTAGATCAAGGGCTGTGCTAGGTGAGGGGAAGTGAACCCGTGTGGTCCCTTGTCCTCTTGGAGCTGACGGTCTGATGGGCAGCAGATATTAATCAGTCACCCAGGAGCAGTACAGGGTGCTGTGGAGATGTGTACCGGGAGGTCCTGATCTCAGGGTGGGGTGGGGGGGGTTGTGGGCAGGACAAGTGTCCTTTCAGAAGTGACACATGAGCTGAGCCCTGAACTCAGTCAGGGGCCATGGACAGGGCAGGGGAAGTACTCTGGGCAGAGGCTACAGTAAGTGCAAGGGGCCTGTGGTAGCTCATATGAAAGTCTGAAAGAAGGCTGGTGTGGTTGGAACACATAGAGTGAGGGGGACAGGGAGGCGAGATGCAGTTAGAGAAGTAACCAGGGACACGAGGCAGGTGAGACTAAATCTCCTTGTTCTCTTCACTGTGACATTTGCAGAGACGAAAGAACTGGAGTGGCAGATTTCAAGTCTCTGAGAGCTGTTAAACAGAAGAAGGGTGCCTCACAAGCCAAACGAGAGGAACTACCCCAGCAAGTGGAATCTTGTGAGTCAGAGAGCAAGGACTTCCTGGCCCAGAGGGGACCCTGGGGCATTGCTTTCTCTGCTTTACCTGTCGTGTCTGCCAGGTAGCAGAAAGGGGTTTGTTTGTCTGTTCATTCACTCCTCTGTCCTGTTCCCTCTGCCACATTACTCCCTGTCCTTGCTGCTTATCGAAGAGGACAGTGGACAGCTCTATCAGGGTGAGTCGTGTGGAGAAGGCCTGGGAGTGGAAGGCAGGGAGGGAAAGACGCAGATGGGAGTGGGGAGAAGGTTGGTTGGAGAAGGTTGTTCTGGAGTGTGGAGATGAGAGGGGAGAGGACGGATAGCCAGGAGCAACCAAGAACAGGAGTTGCGGTGGGACAGGGGAGGAGAGTGGTCAGGATGGGGGACCCCACCCCTGGATTATGAGTCTCCTGGTTTGTGTGTGTGTGTGAGGGAGATCAGTTCTGAGCTAACATTTGATGCTGATCCTCCTCTTTTTTGGCCGAGGAAGACTGGCCCTGCGCTAACATCCATGTCCATCTTCCTCTACTTTATATGGGGCGCCACCACAGCATGGCGTGACAAGCGGTGCGTCGGTGCACGCCCAGGATCCGAACCCATGAACTCTGGGCCACTAAAGCGGAGCGCACGCACTTAACCGCTTGCGCCACTGGGCCAGCCCCTATGAGTCTCCTCTTTATCCTGGAGGCCTCTCAGGTCCCAGCTGCCTTCCCGCTGAAGGACGAGACAGAATTGCCCTGATGGTCACAGGGAGAGCAGATCTGCCAGTTGTTCTCTGACACTCTTTTGGGAAGGCCTGTCTGCTTGGCTGGCTCCCTGTCTAGACTGTGAGCTCCTTGAGGGCTGGGTTTATGTCTCGTTCAATATCACATCTCCCAGTGCCTGATGCAGTTAACATCTGTTGAACGAAAGATAGCACAAATGAATGAATACTATATCGTGGTGATGGCTTAGAGAGCAGGAGACTGTCCCCAGCTACTGATGGGACCCAGCTCTGAATATCTGAGCCTTGATCTAAGTCATTGTCGGATTCTTCCCAGGATTAGGGTGGGGGCGGGACAGCCTATTCAGATCCGGAAAAAGGGCAACTCAGAACTCAGAAACTTTGAAGGCAAGCCATGTGATGTTCTGGTTAGGAATGTAGCTCTGCAGACAATTGCCGGGGTTCAAGTCCTGCTTCTGCCACTTCCTAGCTGTGTGATATTGCATAAATGACATACCACTCTGTGCCTCATTTTTCTCATCTGTAAAATGGGGGAACTTATAGATCATAGGGTTGATGTGAGAATGAAGAGCCGAGCCTTTTAGAACACTGTTTGCACACAGTAACTGCTCCATCAATGTGAGTGACCTGGAAAGGGATTTATTCAGCCCTGGTCCCTAAGCCCCAGCACAAGGCCTCACACCCAGAGCGCCTACTACAGATCTTGCAGAACCGCCTGAATGGGGTCACTGCCGGGGGTCTCCTCCACTAAGCCCATCTGCATCTGTCGCCAGATCCCTGAGGGCCCTTTGCCTTCTGCAGACAGAGAAGTGCAGACCTAAACATCCGGGCTGACCGCCACTTGCTACACAGCATTCTTGGGCAATGTCCCCAAGCTTCTGCCTTCTCATTTGTAAAAACGGGAATAGTAAAACCCATCCGCCGAGGTTATTGCGGGGATTATGTGCCCCACATCTAGTTGGTGCCCGGAAGGCAATCCTCCTTCCCCAGGTGGAGTGTATGGACCAACTCCTGCGATCTGCCCCTCCCTCTCACCCTTGTCCCTCCCACCATGAGGGAGTGGCCTCCTGGAGTCCTGGCCTCACTGGCTCTAACATCAAAACCTTGGGCACGAGTCACAGCCTCTTTGTGAAGACCAGCAGGAGAGCTCCATCCCTGGGCACCTGAGTCAGGGTTCAGCAGGGACTCCTGTCTCTGTCACCTCAGATAACTCCCGTCCCCACAAGCTCTCTGCCAGAATGACAGAACTGAGTCATAAGGTGAACCTCTCGGGAGGAGAGGAAGTTCTGCAGCCTGAGTGCTGGGCAGAGGCCTCAACCTGCTGGGGGCTAGGGTGGGGGTGGGATTCCCTTTCCCTTTCTGTCCCCATCTTTAGGCACATGGCTCATCACCCAACTTGCTTACTCACTGGCACAATGAGAGGGGAAAGTTTAAAGAGAGAAAGGATTATGTCCTGAAAATTTTAGTGTAGGGAAAACTAGGAGTTTCCACATTTATTCCACAAAGGCACTTTGTACGCAGCTCCTGCGCGCTTTGGGATTCCCATCCTGGAAGGCAGAGCTGGGCGGTAAGAACTCGCTATAGGCAGCAAGTTATCTGCCCACCCCTCCCCCAATCCCACCACTGACTTTGGAAAGAAGGTTGAAAGGGCTGCCAATTGCATCAAAGGGTCAGGATTTGCACATAGTGTCTCCTGGGGGCCGGAGACCCTGGGCAAGTCATTTGATCTGAGTCTCAATTTCCCTCTTGTAAAGTGGGGATAATACTGGGGTGACCTGTTAGTGTGAAGGTTAAATGAGGGAACAAAATGGAGCACTAACGTGGGGCTGGACCCAGCAGGGGACTTGTTTCATTCAACAACAAACATCTAAGGCCTACTGTGTGCCAGGGTCTATATGCTAAGGACTGGGGGGACATTAATAATAAGACCACCATGGTCTCCGGCCTCATGCTGCTTACAGGAGAGGAGGGGTCCCACCGAATGAGAGGGACGGTGTAGGGTAATGGTTAAGGCAAGTAGGTTGGAAACCCAGCTCTACCGTTCACCATCTGGGTGACCCTGGGCTAGCCTCAACTCTTTGTGCCTTGATTTCCCCACAGTAATATGAGCCACACACCCACTTAGAGGGCGGTGAGGATTACATGAATTGACACAAGGAAAAATCTTTATAGCACCTACTACGTGCTCTGGCAGCACACATGTGATCAGTGAAATAAAAGGACCTTCGGGATGTGTAACACAGCAAGAGATGATGTGGGGCTGAGCCTGCCCAGCAAATGGACAGGGGGCAGGCGTGTTCCTGAGGAGGGAGGTCCCGAGGAGAGCACAGGGTGTGCTGGAGAGCCAGACGAAAGGGTGAGGAGTGAAGACAGGGGTGTGGGATGAAGTGGAGCAGCGAGCTAGCTTCAGCAGTCGGGCGTTGGGAGTTAGTCAAGGGTTTCAAGGATCAGGTTTGCAGCTTTAAAGCGCTGGTTCCCCTTGGTACATGCAGAAACATGGCACACATCTGTCTTGTTTATTAACGTACTTCTAGCCCCTGGTACAGAGATTAGGGTAATTCCTTGCTGACTCTCACTCCTCCTCTGATTTCCAGCCCCATCAGCTTCCAGATCACTCTGGGCCTTTGCATTCGTTGGCTCTCTTCGAGGAGTGGAGCAGGGGGACACTTAGGGAGGACTGAAGTCAGACCCAGGTCTGGGAGCACCTACATCCTCCCCACCCACACTGCCTCTTTGTGATCCCATGAGTCGGGTGTGCCTTTCTTTCTCACCACCAAGCTGTGAGGGCAGAAACGGGCAGGAGAGTGTAGCTGGGAAGGGACTCTTAGGAAGCAGAGGAGAAAGTGGGTGTTTTATTTACAACCCCACTTGCAAAGGGGCAAAGTGTCCGGTCGGTCCCCCAACTCCGTTGACAGGGTAGGGGAGCGGGAGAGTCCCTTTCCCGGCCGGCAATCCCCTGTAACCTGTAACCGGGGAAAGCGTCCCGAGGGCGGGGCGGGGCGCTGTGGCTCCGCCTGGAGGGCAGAGGGCACACAGGGGAAAGGAACAGAGGCACTGCCTTTCCTGGGCTGGGTCAACCGGTGCCTACCACCGGGCTTACGAGCGAAGAACGGCGTGAGGGCTGGAGGTGGGGGTGCATTTCTGCACATCTCAGGGATCAGAGCCCTGGAGGCGGCGGCTGAGAAAGTCCACAGCGCTGGCACTTCTAGGCGTGTGGGCGGGGACTTATGTAGAGCCCGCAGCCGCTCTAATGAGGGTGCCCCCACCCACGCTCCTCTGAAGGGGTGCGCCGGCTCTCCACCCTCCTTCCCTCCCCCCCTACGCCCAATCCCACCTTCGCTGGCACTCCCGGAGCCTCCAGGTCAGCCGGGAGGCGTGGCCCGCAGACGGCCCGCCCCTTGATGTGCGCCGGCGCCGCTGTGATTGGACAGTCGCTTGTGACGTGCGGGGACTGCGGTGGGCCCGGGTGCTGCGGCTGCCGCAGCGCTAGCCGCGGCTCCGGCTCCGGCTCCGGCTCCCGGGCATTTAAAGGGGACGCGGCGGCGGCCGGGGGGATGGGGGGCAGGTGGAGAGGACGGCCCAGACGCACATCATCCACGGCCCCTCGGGACTGGAGGGACTCGTGAGCCGGAGCCCAGAAATCCGGGGGTGGATAAGACACCGCGTCCCCCCCAATTCCCGTAAGCACCCCTTGCTCCATCCTGCCCCCAAATACCTCAGCTAGCCCCTCTCCCCACTCTTTGCACTCCAAACTCAGCCAGGACAGACCTCTACCGCCGCCGCTCCCCAAGTGAGTCCTGGGCTCTCCGAGGTAGGGGAGGACTGGGGTCCCGGAGTGGGGTGGGGGCTGTGTGGAGTTTGAGGGCGCTCCTTCACGCGTGTCAGCGGAAGAGTCCCTGGAGCGGAGGAGTAAGTCCCCCTTCTTTCTCCTACCCAGGAACGTGGTGCCCGGGTATCCCTCCCTCCCCGCACTCGGACAAAGCGAAGGAATCTGTGCCCCCTTGCTCCATGCCACCCACAGTCCCCTGCGCTCCCCTCAGCTCCCCGAGCTGCGCACCCCCAGCCCCGCATTGGAGCGAAGCACCCGCCAGCTGGGGGTGTGCCAGAGAGCCTGCTTTCCAGCCACCTCTAAAAATATCTCTCCCCCAACTCCACCGGCAGCTGCCACCTCCCTGCCCCGTGAGGATCCCCTCCCAGCTTGTCCAGCCGGGCAGGGCAAGCCCAGAGGTGACTCCTGGTCCCAGCTTCCTGGCTGGCACCAGAGCTCTGGATCATCACTGCCAGCTAGTCAGGACAGCACGCCCACAGCCCAAGGGGGTCTCTATGGCAGTAGGGGAAGCTCTGGCTGCGATTTTCCCAAGAGGCACCAGAGATCCTTGAGTTCTAAATCTGATTTTGATGCTGTGTGACCCCAAGGATATTAGCTTGACCTCTCTGGGCCTCTGTTTTTCCTATTTGCTGCTGGCAGTAGTGAGCAGGGAAGAGACCATGGTGAAGGTGGGAGTGCTATCTGAGGGAAGGAGAGAATGCCAGCTTAGTGACTGAATCTGATTTCTAGTGATTGATACAAGGAGAGCTGGTCTTGGGAAAAGAGCTTGTCACTGTGGTATCTCTGGGGTCCTCCCCCCATCCCCATCCTGCACATTTCCTGTGGAAAACTGTCCCAAAACTGTCTTGTGGGCTCTATCCATTAAGAGGGGAATTTCAAACTTAGGGCAGATGCCAAAGAGAGGCCCATTTCCCTCCCCCATCCCCAGGGGACCCTCCCAGCCCATTCCCATAGCTGTCGTCTAAGAGCTTTTGTGTAAAAGGCGGGAGGAAGCAGGAAAGAATCCGGTGATCCTGGGTGGAATCAGGGAGGCAGGCACTGCTTTCAGATGGGACTGGACTAGACTCTGGACTCCCTGCCACCCCAGAGAAACCCTTCTCTCCTCTCTCTGCTCCAGCCTGTGCGAGAGGCTCAGAGATCCTGCCCCCCTTTTCTCTGAGGAACTCTTTTTGGTGACCACAAAAGGATTTGATCACTCAGGACAAAGCTGCCAGAGGTGAGTAACCTTTCTGGACATCACGGGAGCCAGATTCCCACGGCACCCGGGGTCCCTCTGACTACTGCTATAGGGGTGGGGTGTCACAGCATGGCCTTCTCACATTCCGGGGGAAGAAACTCAGGGTGCCTGGCTTTCTGCTCTGGGGACTGAAAGAAACAAGGGCAACTCACCCAACAGTAAATGTTTAACCGATTTCCCTAAATACTATTATTAGATGAAAAAAAAATGTAACTATGTCTTTTGCTATGAGAAATGAGAAGTTTTGAGCATGATATTGCAATAGAATATTCTACCAAATAAAAACAAAGAAAAAGAAACAAGGGCAAAGCAAGGAAGCTCGGTCTCTGGGTGGCTGCTGGAGACCCTTGGTATCTTTGCATCTGCCCCTCTCTGCTCCCCGTGCCCAACACATGTCCACTCCTGTTTGCTTTTACAATGGGAGTGGCATCCCCTGACCTTTCTCCTCAGACTCGCCTGGCCCCGGGCGGACATGTGATATTAGTCAGGATTCTGGAAGGCTGGAACTCCCTAGGGCCTGGGGATAGCCCTCCCATCCTCCAAAACATGCCTTTCCCTTGTCCCATGCCTCCCTCCCCTTTACTCCCATCTTCTCCTGGACCTGTGTCTCCTCTCCCTTTGTGCCCACTGCCCCATTCAGCTTTGGCCCCCTCTGCCAATTCCTAGATTAAAAATTCTTAGGGAAAAGGCTAAGACCCACATCCCATCCCTACCAAAGGGTTTAAGGCACGTGTGGTCAGAGTGGGGCGGGATGGGGTTCTTCAAGATGGACGGTGATAGAGCCCCTTCCTCCCACCTGTGCCCTGCTCCTGGGATGTCCCAGTCTCTGTCTTGGAGACAACAGTTTCTCCCTGTTGTCCTGGGATGGTCTGGGGAGAGTGTCACCTTGAAAAAGTCAGAGGGGTTTCCAGTGTCACCTGCTGTCACCACCAGAGGGCAGCAGCCAGCCAGACCTTTGCTCCTTTCCCTGTCTAGTCTCCTGGCTCTTTCCAGATCTGTTCCAGCTGCCTCTGGTCTCCCATTCAACTCCAGGGTGGAGGGTTGGGTGTGTGTAGGGAGGGACTGGGAGCTGTAGGTGGTGTCCCTATGAAGCCAAACACTGTCCCCAAAGCCACATAGCAAAGTCTGGCAGAAATTTCACTCTGACTCTCCTATCTGACTGCCAGCCCCCTGAAAGCACCGGGGAGGCCAGTCCCAGATCACCTTTGGTGCCCAGGGGTCCTGGCCCCCCAGCTGTGGTACAGTGATTCCGGTCATCTGCCTCTTCCCTTTGAGGGCAGAGGGCAGGCCAGGCTGTGGCCAGGTGTTCATGAACCAGACTCTGTCCTATGGAAACAACATGGCCTCAGGCAAGTTGTTTATTCTCCCTGAGAATGTGAGTGAAGGTGATGGGTAAACTGTGCTGTACCATCCACAAGAAAGGGGCAGTGATTGTACTGGAGAAAAAGGCACATGTGTCAGACCCTGAGATCTGGTTTTGAGATCTGTCTCTGCCACTTACAGTGGGTGACCTTTGAGCAAGTTGGTTACCCTCTCTGGTCTCTATTAATATCATCTGTAACCTCTCCAGTGTCGTGGGGGATTGTAAGAGGATGCCTGGCAAGGGCTTTGTGGTCTGTAAGTGCTATGCCTATTTGGGGGGTTGTTTTTACTGAGTCCCTGGGAGTGGTTCCTGGGGCTCAGCAGAGGGGATAGGGCCGGGTGGGCATTTGTGGTAGAAACAAAGCCAGATGAGCGGGCACCTTCAAATGGACCTTGTGTGGTTGTCAGGAGCTCTGGACGACGCCTGGAGGCCACCCAAGTCCCTACAGGTGGTGCCCAGGGTGATGCACCGACAATGAGCGGGTGTTTTCCAGTTGCCGGCCTCCGATGCCTGTCTAGGGTAAGTGGGTCCCTCCAGGGGTCTCTTAGGATGAGGCCTCAGCCCCCACATTCCCATCATGGGGTGGGAAGAGCCCTACTGAGCCCCTTTTAGGCTTGCCCTCACCTCTACTGGGATTCCACTAATCCCTGGAAGCTTCCATCCCAGGTGTGGGGTCCTGATGCTTTACATCCTCAACTCCAGTGATCCTGGGCCACTGAGACACCCAGATGGATGTTGGTGAGACCAGAAAGTGTCTCTAGGGATGAGGTCAAAAGGACAGTTCTGTTAGGGAGGCAGATAGCCAGGTTCAAATCTCAGCTCTGAAATTAGGAGCTTGGACTTCTGTTTCACAACTGGGCCATAAACATCACAGGAATATTAGAGAGAGAGTTAGGAAGGAACCAGAAAGAAGAGTGGTTCCATCTCAATTCACTGGGGCGGGAGGCCAGGAAGGAGAAAGGCAGTATGGTGGATATTCTGAAGCTGGATCTGATCTGCTCACTCTGCCTCTCTGTCACCTACAGCTGCTGGCAGGCAAAGGTGGCAGGGATAGGCTGCTGAGGGCTTCTGCTGTCTCCATTTGCTTGCCTTTCTTTGTGCCCTCACACTTGCCTTGTTGTCCCCCATCCTATCCCATGGCCCCCATCTGGCCCAAGGTCTCCACTTCCTGGAGCTCCCCATCCCCACTCCGTCTTCCTGTCTAGTCTGTCTCCCTGCTCCCCTAGCATGACTTCCTTCCAGCCCTCTCCTTCCCCATCACCGCGTCATAACCACCCCCCCCACCATGTCCCCATTACCTGCTCCCTCGTCCTCTGCCTTTTCAGCCACTGCTGCTCTCTCTCCTGTCCCTTACCTGTCTCCCAGGTATGTCGTGGCCTGGCACGGGAGGCTCCTACCTCCCCAATCCCCACTGCTTCTCCTGTTGCCCACCTGCTTCGGACTCTGGCAGGAACCCCACCTGGTGACACGTTCCACCTGGGGAACTGGCAAGTGACTAGTGATGAGCTGTTAGCACAGGGCCCTAAAACTCCCCAGAGAAGCTGTGTCCCATCCCTGGACCCCTGCCCAGTGCCATCTCGCTGGAAGCAGCTGCCAGAGAGCCTTCCTGGGTCTTGTGTGGTCAATCCACCTACCTGGTTATTCCAAGAACTAAAATCTAGTTCTCTGGCCAGCACAGAGACCCAGGCACCTAACTCTCAGGCCTGAGGACCTGGCACTCATTGTCCACATGTCTTAGATGGTGCGGAGGAGACTTCCCTGGAGTCTGGCTCCTTAGTGTCCACCATCAGCTTGGCATGGTCCAGATGGGGAATGAGGAGGCTACTCCAGTTGGGGGAACGGGTGGTTTCCCTTCACTATGTTAGGGAAGAAGGAAGTGGAGAGCTCTCTCCACCCTCCCATTAGCCACACCAACAACAGGAGTCACTGGAAGTCTCTAGAATGGTCTAGTCCAGAAACCTCCCCAAAGGGGTGACCCCTTGGAAGCTGCTCTTCCCCACTTTTAAGCTGACCCTTGTTAAGCCCCAGTGGCTCCAGATGAGAGTAGCAGAAACAGGTGCCAGGGAAGCCCTGCTGGGTTCAGAAGGAAGATGGTCCTCTGAGGATAAACTCCAGCGCAGTTAACCCAGAGGTGCCAAGGGGATGGGCAGGGAAGGCTGGGGTGGGGGTGGGGGCGGCGGCCTTGGGTACTCCGCCCAGCTTAACCAGCTTTGGGTCCTCCTCAGGTCTTGGATGTGCCAGCGCCTCTGGCCGTGTCCCGCTAACCAGCCTGTCCCGGGCCGGCTCCCGCCGCGCCCCCTCTCGCTTGCTCTCTCCTCCTCCTGCTCCTCTCCTCCCCGCTCCCAGGACGGCGGGATGGCCGCGCAGGGCGCGCCTCGCTTCCTCCTGACCTTCGACTTTGACGAGACCATCGTGGACGAAAACAGCGACGACTCGATCGTGCGCGCCGCGCCGGGCAAGCGGCTGCCAGAGAGCCTGCGCGCCACCTACCGCGAGGGCTTCTACAACGAGTACATGCAGCGCGTCTTCAAGTACCTGGGCGAGCAGGGCGTGCGGCCGCGGGACCTGCGCGCCATCTACGAGGCCATCCCCCTGTCGCCGGGCATGGGCGACCTGCTGCAGTTTGTGGCCAAGCAGGGCGCCAGCTTCGAGGTTATTCTCATCTCCGATGCCAACACCTTCGGCGTGGAGAGCGCACTGCGCGCCGCCGGCCACCACGACCTGTTCCGCCGCATCTTCAGCAACCCGGCGGGCCCCGACGCGCGGGGGCTGTTGGCGCTGCGGCCCTTCCACACGCACAGCTGCGCGCGCTGCCCCGCCAACATGTGCAAGCACAAGGTGCTCAGCGACTACCTGCGCGAGCGGGCCCACGACGGCGTGCACTTCGAGCGCCTTTTCTACGTGGGCGACGGCGCCAACGACTTCTGCCCCACGGGGCTGCTGGCGGGCGGCGACGTGGCCTTCCCGCGCCGCGGCTACCCCATGCACCGCCTCATCCAGGAGGCGCAGAAGGCCGAGCCCAGCTCCTTCCGCGCCAGCGTGGTGCCCTGGGAAACAGCCGCCGACGTGCGCGTGCATCTGCAGCAGGTGCTGCGGGCGTGCTGAGGACGGCGGCCGGCGGGGGCGCCCGGGCAGGGAAGGCGCGAGGAGGCGGGAGATGGGAAAGACAAACCTAGTTTTTCTTACTCCCTTTTCCCTTTCGCTTTGGTGTGCCCCTCTGGGAATTTCTGGAATTCCGGGCTCGTCCATTTGGAGGCTAGGGGAGGGAGTTCGGAGCAGTCCGTATCTACGTAGTTAACCCAGTTCGGTTGCCTCCCTAGTTCCTCTGCAAACGGTCAGATTCTGGAGTCTGGCCCCACTGGGGTGGTACGCATACAGGGGAAGGCAGTAGTGTTTCTAAAACCCTTGTAAGGCTCTCTTACAGGGGAGAGAAGGAACATCTCCCACTGCTGTAACCTTCCGTCTCCCAGATCCTGAAATCCTCCTGGCTGCACCTGACTCTCCGCCAACGGCCCCAGGCCTAGATCTTGCTTCACCTACCGCCACCCCACACTCCACCCCTTTTCTTGCCTCTCTTCCCCCGCCCACCCCGCCAGCATCCCCAAAGGGAAAAAAAGCCCGAGGGAACAGTCGCCTCCTGGTGGTGGAACGAGGTAGCACACTGTCCGGCTTGGGGCCGGCCAGCCAGGGACCTCGCAGCGTGCGGTGGTGTCTCCTGGCACCCCAGCCTCGTCTATGCAGCAAGAGACCAGGGACTTAACCAAAGTCGCCTCGCGGGCTGGGCCCTCTGCGCCCCCCTCCTCCCGTGTGGAACAGAAAGCCATGATATTTTAAAGCAGAGCCAGCGGAACCCAAGCCCCTCCTCCCTCTTTGGTGTTTTAGAGCTATAAAGGAGGTGAAGGGGGAAGAGGTGACTGAGATCTCTCGCGCCGCAGTCTAAGGGGTGAGGGTGAGGTGGTCTCTGCTCTCAGAGAGCCCCACTTAAGTGAGGGAGTTAGTCCCCACTCTTGGAGGAGTGCCCAGCTTAAGGAACCAAGACTGAACACATAACACACAGCAAGCAACAGGCCGAAGAACAAGGTGCAGTCAATCGTTGCAGAGAGGCATCAGGGGTCTAGTGTAGAGGGCACCTAATGAGAACCCAGGAAATGGGAGACACGGCTGCTAGGGGCAGGCAGAGGAGGGCTCAATAATTAGCAGGAGGCTTAAAACTGGGATGCCTTTCAATCCCTCCCGTCTCTGGCCCCCTAGCCCTGCAGGGCAGTTGTCAAGAGGGTCAGAGTTTTATTCAGAGTTGGCACTTGCAGCTGGAGACCCCACCCTGCGTGGAGTAGGGGTCCTCTCCTGTCTACTTGGTGGACAAGGTCACCAAACTCCTTGGCTTTCAGTTCTTTCCTGTCTGCAGCAGGCCTCCGGGTACCTCTCTCCCCAGGACCCCTTCCCATCACAGTGTGGGAAAGGGGCAGACACAGCTCACAGCCCAAGAGGTGGGCAGGCCTAGTCCAGCCTCGACCTTGGAGCTGGCTTTGGCCTGGGGCTCGAGAGGCTCACTCAGGACAGAGCCTGGTCAGCATCCCGGAGAGCCCCGGGCTGTCAGCAGCTGGGCTCCACATAGTTCCCCGGGAAGAATCCAGTCCCCTCGGAGCTGACGCCCTCACACCAGCCATCGGAGTAGCGGCGGGTGATGCAGATCACCGTTCCCGCAGAGAAGGAGAGCTCGTTGTCCTTCTGGCGGGTGTATGGGTACAACGTCACCACTGCAGAGCAGGAGAGGGGCTCTGTGAGATGTGCCTTCTGCCCCACCGTGGGCATGCAGGGCCCCCATACTGGACTCTAGGGAGCATCTAGAGGAGAAGGCTGCAGGGAGTGGGGAAGGAGGTGCCTTCTCCCAGGCCCTGGGGACCCCTCCCCAGCTCAGTTAATATCAGTACCAGGCCAGCTGTTCTCAGCTTGGTTCTGAGATGACTCCTGGGGAAACGCTTGCTCAGTTTGTCAGAAAATATGTATGTGTGTGTGGGGGGGAGTGAGAGGGCAACAGGCCCAGAATGCCTCTGGGGTAGAAGAGTGGGGGGAACCCTGGTGCCCTTCAGTCCCAGGAGTCAGGTACCTTTCTCCAAGTATGCAGCAGGGACCCAGTTGGGCTCTTCGGGTTCAAAGCCTGGTGGGGGTGGAGGCAGCAGCCCCAACTCATCTACATCCAGGGGTGGAGGAGGGGGCAGGTCCAGGGGCAAGGGCAGCTCTGGGGCTGAGAGGGAAGCAGAAAAGCTGGGAGTGGGGCACAGGGAACCCCTCCACTCGCCGCAGGAAACTTGGCTGTTCAAGAGCAGGGCCCTAGCAGGATCTACCCATGTTATGTAATCTTCCTCCAGCCCTGCCCATCCTGGTCCTCCCACAATGCCTCTAGCAAGTAGTAGGTGCTCAGTGAACAGTATGGGGTAGTCAGACTGCCATCCAGCTGGGTGACCCGTGGACAAGTCACTTAATTTAACCTCTCAGCCTTCTTCATCTGTTAAACGGGAATGTGAAGATCCTCTTAGGGTTGTTGAGTTTAAGTGAGAAAATGGATGAGAAGCTTCAAACCCAGGGCCTGGTATAAAGCAGGCGCCAAGTTATGTTAGTTCACTTCCTCTGCCTCCTTTTTCTCCCATGACCTCTACCTTGGACAAAGCTTTCACTGAGGTGGGCCCGATTAGATTCAAGAGGGGTGGGGTGGGGAGGAGTATGGGGAGGTAAGAAAGGCTGAGCGAGGAGGAGAGGGCGGAGCTCCTTACCTGGCGGCGGCAGGGACAGTTCCTCCAGCGGAGGGGGCGGCAGGGACAGTTCCTCCAGCGGAGGGGGCGGCAGGAAGACGTCGGAGGCATCTGGTGGAGGAGGCGGGGCCATGGAGTTGGGGAGTGGGGGGGGTGGGGGCGCTGCCTGCCCCTTGGTCGTGGAGACCCCACCGACACCTTCGGCGCTGCTGGAGACCAGAGAAAGAGGGGCTCGTCTAGGTTGGGGGACACCTTCTCTAACTCAGCATCCCCCACCTGGTCCCGCCCCTTCAATCATATGCCCCGCCCCTGCGATCCCGAGTCCCCTCAACCCCAGTAGTCGCCATGACAACTAGCAGGAGGCCCCTTTCAACCCCTCCCCCTGCCACCCCCCACATGGACTTGTGGGGCTCACCCGGCCGAGGCCAGGGAAGAGACAGATGAGGCGGCCGAGAGTTTGCCGTCGGGCACCACCGGGAGCAGCACGGGCTCGGGGATCCTGGGCGGTCTCCTGGGGGTTGGGGCTGTCGTTAGGAGGGAGGAAGGCTTCTGGAGAGCAGGGGTCGGGTGTGGGGAGGAGGGGGCAGCTGGCCGAGGAGGAAGTTTGGCGCCCGCCTTGGGGCGGGGTGGGGGAGTCGAGTGTCAGGACGGAGCGGGGCTGCTTTGGATGGTGGCGAGGCCTCACCCCAAGGTGGCCGAGGCGGGTGTGGCAGGCGCCTTGATGCTCTTTCGAGACAGGGTCCCGGTCCGCGACAGCTGCGTGCTCAGATCCTGCGGGGGAGCAGGGGTGGGCTGACGTGTATGGGGCCCCCCAATGGCCCCCCTCATCCCAGAGAGGAAATGTGGGAGGGGCAGATGAGAACTGGGAGGGAGAGCACGGGCACAGCTAGTTCCCACTTCCACTTCCCAGCGCCTTCTCCCACCCCACCCCACCCCACCCCCTCTTGCTCCGCCTGGGCCCTGGGCCCTGGGCCCTGGGCCTCAAGTCTGCCCAACGGAAACCTCGGAGCGCAGACTGTCTGCCGGCCACTTCCTCTGCACAGCCTCAGGCGGCTGAGTGAGCTCATCATCACCCCCCCACCAAGCTTCTCAGCGCCCACCTGGGTGGTCCCTAACCTGGCCAGACCCCAGCCCCAGCGCAGACTGAGGAGGGAGTGGGGAAAGGAGAACATCACCACACTTAGAAATGTCCAACCTGTCATTTTCACAGGCTTGGGGAACTGGCTCTGGGGAGTTCAGGGCAGAGAGGAGCAGAACATTTAGAGTTGAGTGTAGAAATGACCAGGTGCAAACCCACAGGCAGGAGAGCACCTCTGTCACTGAGAGGGTTCCCGCCCAAGGAGAGTGGGTTCGTGGGGAATGGTGTTCCCTGTGAGCTGTACTTCACTAAGGACAAGACAAAAGGGACCTGAGCTGAAGCATAAAGAATTTAAGTTGAACAATAGGAAGAACTTACTGGTGGAGAGGCCTAAGGACTGAAGGAGGGAGTGTAGTTTCTCCTTTTTGGGAAGATGGTATGTTAAAGATTTCAAAAGGTCATTTAGATACGGGAGAGCTTTAATCTAATCTGGAATGTTGGGGCACGGATACAGGAATTTACAAAATGGGATAGGGGTGTGTGTGTGTGTTTCTGTGTGTGTCTTCTCCCACCTCTCAGAGGGAGATGGGCTGAGAAGAAAATGCTAGTCATGCTCCCCTCTCTTCACCATGTCCCCTTTGAGTGGCTGCACCCCCACCCCTTCCCACCCAACAGCAGCTCTGGGGTGACTGTTCAGTGCGGTGACCTCAAACCTCCAGACAGAGGAAGTTGCTGTTCTCATGTGGCTGGGGAGCAATTCTCATGCACACCCTGACACCCTCCCTTCCCCCTCTTCCCCTTCACACACACGCCCAGCACCCGAGGGCGGGGGACAGGGTGTTCAAATGTCGCTCTCAGCAGATCATCTGAGCACAGGGTGAAGGCCAGTTTTGGAGGGAGGGGTCATGAGGATTTTTAGGGAGGAGGAGGGGTCTTAGGGAGTAAGGGGGCTTAGGGTGATGGCTTCAGGGGGTGAGGAAAGAAAGGGGCTGCAGCTTGGGACAAGAACATAGCCGTGTTCTCTCCAGCGGGCCGCTGGAGAGAAGGGGCTCATGAGGCAGAAGAGGGTGTGTCGTGGAGGAAGAGGAGGGGCCCCTCTCTCTACCTTGATCCCATGGCCAATGTCATCCAGGCAACCAAAGTTGAGGGGTCTCCTGTAGTAGGGTGTGAGGGACGGTAGGCTCTCCGGGGGGATGACTTTCTGGCCAGGGGGCAGCCGCTGGACAGTGGCTAAGGTGCCAATCTCCCTTCGGGCCACCTTCTCCATGTGCATGTTCACCATCTGCATGACAGGGTTTGAGGTGACAGTGAGGCAGCCTCTGTATAGCACCCTTGCCCTTAAGAGAGGAAGAGGACAGAGACTTTGGGGCGAGGGCAGGGACCATGGGAGGCAGTGAGGTCCAGACAAAGAGTCAGTTCTGTCCCCAAGGCCACACACCATTTGGGAAAAGAGTTGCCAGGGGAGGATGGAGCCACTTTGGAGAAACTTCCTGGTGGAAGAGAATGAGGGTTATTATTAGCTGAGCAGGAACCAGAGGAAAAGAGAAAACACAGCATCCCTGGGGGGGCTGGGAAGAGACTCAAGCACTGGGCCAGCTCAGAGCAGAGGGGGATAACGGGGAGGTGGCTGGAATTGTGGCTGGATCAGTTCTCTCTTTTGGGGGTCAAATAAGTGAACTAACTTCCTCTTGGGATGTTCTGTGGAGAAACCTACAGCATGGAGAGGGTGGGAACTCCAGTCTGCTGGGCAAGAGGAAAAGACACACCCCACGCTGAACATGTGGGTGATGTGTGGGCCAGGCCTGTGTGTAACTGGATCTGTGCATGTGGTTCATGGGGCAACTCCTCAGCCAAGGATCCAGGAAGGAAGGAGGAGGGCGTGTATGCTAGATGGGTGGGGGGCACTGTATGGCGGCGGCAGTGCTTCCAGGGCTGAAGATGACCTTGCCAAGCAAGCACTCTGGGTCCAGAACATTCATTAAGTTACCGCCTGTGTTTAGATGGAAACAGGATCCATCTACCTCTTTCCTGTGCTCTGCAGCCACCTTGATTGGTAGAGCCGCTTTCTGTTGTGCAGGGTGGAATTTAGCAAAAGAACCTCCCTGCCTTCAGGGAGGTCCTAGTCTGATGGGGCAGCAAGGCCCAGCCCTGAGACGTGGCCAGAGAGACAAGAAGGCACAAAACGCTTGGGAAGTGCCAAGCTTCTATGTTGGAGTCAGGCATCAGGAGGAAGGCAGGAAACAACTTTTGCTGGAGGAAATATCCAAGGGGGGCGGAAGGGCTGGGAGCTGATGCAAGGAGCCTTCCCACACGCCTTACCTGGCCCAGGGTGCTCACGCGGGCTTCCACCTGCCGCAGGGAGGCGGCCTGCAGGTCCAGCATGCGCAGAGTGTGCCCGGCCAGGTTGCCCACCTGGTAGGCCACGCTGGCCAGGGCCTGGGTGGTAAAGGCCATGGTCTCCTCCAGTGCCTTCCGCTTGTCTGTGGCCTGAAATACACACAGCCCTGGTCTGAGGGCAGCACCTTCCACTGGGGCCCTGACTGGGCGGGTTGGGTGGGAGACGGTATAGGGAAGTGGGGCTGAGCTGGGAGAAAGCAGCAACCCTGAGATGTCTGAGGTAGTTTCCACAGGAATAGTGTTGTGGTAAGAGGGACTCAGGGGGCATTAGGAAAGTGCATCTGCAGCCCTGGGGAATGGGTGCAAGGGGAGGGAAGATACCCCTCCTCAAACAGTCAAGCTGAGGATTGACCCCAGCACCCCCTTTTGGGGGGTAAACGGTCAATAGTAGAAAGGAAGGAGGAAGGCAATTCTGGCTGGAGGAGATATTCTCAAACTTGAAAGTCAACCAACTAACAGCAGGCCCCCATCCCAGACCTTCTAACCAGATTCTCTGGGAGGGAGGCCGACAGATCTGTGCCGTTAAAAGCAACCCAGGGGGCTCTTGTCCTCTTTGTTTAGCTCCGGTCTACAGGTTGGTGTTTGGAAGCCAATGATCTGCTCCATTTTATAGATAAGGAAACTGAGGCCCAGAGGAGAGTGACTTCGTTCATTCATTCCCTCCAATAGCTTCCTAATACACTGAGAATAAAACCCCAACTTCTAACCATGGCCTCCATAGGGCCCCACCAAGGCTGGCTCCTGCTTTCCTCTTCAACCTCATCCCCTACCACTCCCTCTCTCACTTACTCCCCTCCAGCCACATTGGCCATTGGGTTTCCATTCCTGATCAAGCTAAGATTGTTTCTACCTCAGGGCCTTTGCACTTGCTGTACTTCTTTCTAGAATCCTTCTTATTATTAAGTCTCAGCTCCCCAGAGACACCTTCCCTCACCGCCCTAAGATTTCTCCCAGCTCACTGCTGGATTGACTCTATCATATTTGCCTTTTTCTCTTTTCTTCATAGCACTTAGCACTATCAGATATTATGTACCTATTTACTTTATTATCTATTTCCCCACCCCCACACACATACACTAAAATGTAAGTGCTGTGAGGGCAGGGAGCTTGTCTGATTTATTCTGTATCCCATCCTGGAATAGTGCCCAACACACAGACGATGCTTAATAAATATGCATTTTTGAGTTAATTAACAGATTGAATTCGAACCCAGACACTTGCTGGGCATCTTCCTACTGCATGCAGGCACTGTGCCTGTCAGTGGGAGAGGGCTGCCTGAAGACAGAAGAGGTGTTTTTCAGTCCCAGATCAGACCATGGAGGCTGGGGCAAAACTTCTCTGGTCATTTGGTTCCCCAGGCAGCTTCCTCATCTCATGTCAGGTCTTGGAGATGCTACCCTGCAGCCTGTACCTTTCCAGGGGCAGGGGGTAAGTCCAGGGAGAGTCTGGGCAAGGCCCGTGGCCTGACAGGCAAGGCTACACCAGAGGGTCCCCTTGCTAAGGGCCCTTGGGTGCTCCTCAGTGCCCGTCAGAGGATAGCAGTCCTAGAACCTATCAGAGCAGGGTGCTGAGAGACCTGGGGCCTCCAGTGTAGCCTGAGCAGGCTGGAGCCCAAGGGCAGGCCCAGAACTTTCTGAGCAGCCCCTCCAGTATTTCTCCCCTCAGGTGCCCCTCCTGCCTTTCTGTTCCAACTGTGAGAAAAGAGATGTTCATTTGCATGTAATTCACATTTCATCAGCAGAAAGCAACCCAGGGTGTTAAAACCAGAAAGGATAGCAGTTGAGAGTTCAAGACCTTCTCATAGAAGAGGAAACAAAGGCCTAGAATGGAGCAGCGCTACACCTCTGGTCTCTACCCAGATTTCTCAGCTCGCCTCTCCTGTCCTGTCCCCTCCCTGGACTGGCATGTGGAATTGTCAGCCCAAACAGGAAAACTGTCTGCTTGGGTGCAGCTCCGGGAGGCTACAGCCTGGCTGCCTACTGACCCCGGCTGTGGTCTTGGCCCAAAGTTAGGTCTGGAGAGCCAAGTGTCTGGGATCCATCTTTGTGGCTGCCTGCTCATTCATCATGCAAATCATCCTGTCTGTAAACTCGACGGACCCTGACCGAGAACCCTACAGCTGACCCCGGCCTGCCCTCCCCCATTCCCCATGGGTTTCCTGACACCTGGTTGGGGAGGGGGGGGGGTTGGGGGAGGGACAGAGCACGTGGGAACCAGGCCTTGTTTAAGAGCAGTCCTGAGAAGTCATCCAAACGGCTCCTAGCCATTTGCTTCCCAAAGATCCTCAGAGAGGCCAGGAAAGGTAGCTGATTATGTGGCCTAGTAGTCAGTGTTCTGCATGAAGGAAGCAGGGGTCCAGGGATTCTGGCCTGGGTCCAGGCTTCCGATGCCCTGGGTGTTTTTGCAGGGGCTGCTTCGCCTTGCTAGAATCGACTTTTATTATCTGTATGCGTCTTTCATCCTTCTGATGAATGATGATGACGGTGATGACAAAAATAATAATAATGGTAACAGCTGCCATTTATCCTGCCCTTCTTAAGGGGCAGGCACTGGGCTAAATGCTTTAATACTTTATCACGTTTAAGCTATGTGACCACCATGAAGGAAGGGTTAAGAATCAGAGAGGAAACTTGCCGCAGATCCTATGGTTGGTCGGTGGCAGAGTTGGAAATTGGACTCAGGTCTTTGTGACCCCAAATCCTGTGTGCACACTGTGTGCGCAGATAGGACCTGTCTGGGAGTACGTTGAGTGTGCAGAGGTTATTGAAGTAGGAAGGACTGTTTCTGTGCTTGCCGATAGGAGGAGCGTGCCTTCCAGAGTTACGGGTTCAAATCCAAGTTCTGCCACCAGCTTGGGAGTCCTTGGGAAAGCGAGTGAATGTTTCCGAACCTCATCCTCCTGGTCCTCACCTCACAGGACTGGGGTGAGGACCAAAGGAGGCGATGCGGGCACCACACCTGCCCAAAGTAAGGGTGCGGAGCGTTATCATTATCATATCACTCTTATTATCAGTGTGCCATTCTCCCGTAAGCACTTGCTCCTTTTATTATTATTTTTTCAATACTCTCACTGAGCTGGGAAGTCCCTGTGCCTCTTCTCACAGTTTGGTTAAAACAGGTTAGAAAAATGAAGTTTTGCCCGGGAGATAACAGGGTTAGCCTGTAGCTCTTAAGAGAGCAGAAGAAACTGAGAACAGAGAGTGCAAATAAACTGTCTTAAAGTCATACAGCATGTCAGGGAGGTGGAAAGGTGGAGAGGAGAGAGCTTGGCTTCAGAATTCAGGAAGTCTGGGCTGATGCCCGGCTCTACCGTTTCCAAGCTGTGTGACCTTGGATGAGTCACCTTGCCTCCCTGTGCTGCTGTTTCCTCATCTAAGAAATAGGAATATAATAATACTTGTCTCACATGGTGGTTATGAGGATTAATGAAATAACAGAGGTGCCCAATCATTGCTAAGTTTCCCTCACCCCTCTTCCCTTCATCCAGGAATCTGTATTTGCGGTCCTAGGACAACCACACAATTTAGAAAACTGTTCTAAAATGCGACTATCCTCATCTTTTGCTGGTCGCCTGTTCCAGTGGTCACGTTGTCCATCCCCCTTGCCTCTGCGTCAGACCCCGTCTTTGTAACCCAGCCTGGTCTCTCCGCTCTGCCTCAAATACCAGGGAAAGAACTCCTTCCATTGTCCATCTCAAGTTCACTACAGTGTTCGAGAAGTTCTTCTGAGGTCTTACCTAGAGCCAGCCTGAACATGGAATGATGGTGCCCACAAGTGTGTGAGGACAAGTCTTTGGGCCTCTGGATTTGAGTGAGTGGCTAGGAGGGAGATGAACCTGAGTGAGGCCTGATAACAGGATGGGACGGCCCTGCCTGCCTGGACATCTCTGAGGCTCTGGGAGAGAGAAGGGGCACAGTAGGGACTTGGGTAGCGTGGGGTCAGGGGTAACGTCTAAGGGAACTGGGATGAAGCCGAGGCCTGGAGTGGGAGGCTTCCTTGGCCGGGACCCAGGACAAGCACCTGTCAGGATGGCTCCCACGGCCCTGCCCTGGGGAAGGGCTCTGGGCCCCTCGAGGGGCTGGGGTGTCGCGGCCTGTCCCCGCTCTGCCTACCTGCACGTAGTTGTCCTCACAGTAGTCTGCGACGCGCAGCAGGGAGCTGTGGTTGCCCCGCAGAGCCTCCCGGCCGGTGGGGATCTCAAACTCCTGCAGCTGCTGCAGCTCCGCCATGGCCCCGGCCTCTGACTGGCTCCCCAGGGAGCCCGCTGGTTTTGTGCCTCACCCTGCCCTTGATTGGTCGCTCTACCTTCCCTCCCTCTCACTGCTTTTGGTTTCCTCTGTGTGAGAGACCCAAACCCCCTTGCAAAGGGCAGGCATGCTCATTCCGAGACAAGAGGAAGTCAGTCCCTGCTCCCCGAGCCTGCACCTCTCTGTACCCTGCCCAGAGGAAGGGGGAAGGAAGGGGGAAGCCAGGGGCCTTTTGGGGGCCCAGCCCCCCAATCCCTCCCAGCAGAGGAAGCCAAGGTCGGGGCGGCTGTGATTGCTCCCTGGGCCTGGAGAGGAAACTGTTCGGTGGGGCGGTGGGGGGGTGGGAGACTGAGGAGGAAGGGGGCTGGCCTACTATGGGGGGTGGAGATGGATTTTCCACTCATGAAGGGGAGGAAAAGGCAGAGGGTGGGGGCTTCCTTGGGAAGCTCAGGGATGAGTCACCAAGGGACAGGGGATTGGAGGGTGGAGAGGATATGGAGACCAGTCATGCTGGGGGGCTGTGGGGTGGCGGTGCAGCAACAACGGTGAACAGCTGATGCGGCAGCAAGAGGAATCAGGTTGGACACCAGGAAGATACAACAAGACGTCCCCTGAGAAGTGTTATCAAGTCTCTGAAGGGTTACGTGCCATGAAGATCTGGTGTACGTGCTCTGTGCCTGGTGGAGGCAGGACAAGATGAAATTGACCAAGTGTAGCATGAGAGACTCGGACTAGACAACTGGAAGGACTTTGAGAAGTCCTTTGAGAATCGCCAGTTTCAAGTTCCAGATTAACTGGTCGGTTTCAGGAAGCAGCAGTGGAGAGAGCACTGAGCCGGCCTCAGGAGGTATGTGCTCTATTTCCTGCATTAAGAGGGGAGTTGGACTCGATGACCTCCAGGGTCCTGTCCTGATCTCAAGTTCTTAGAGCTCACAGCTGTGAGCGGGACTTGGATCCTGGAGCAGGAGAAGTTAGGATGGACTCCGGGCCTCCTCTCTGCCCCTCCCACTGCCCAGTCTGTCATCCTAGAGGCAGGAGAAAGAGATGACTGTATTGGCCCCTTAACATCTGCTCCTCACGAGGGGGCCCTTGTCATTAGAGGCGTCAGCCTGAGCAGGAGCCTGGTGTCTGTTAAACAGCATGGCCCTTGGGTGGTCATGGGAGGAGACTAAGAGAAAGATCAAGATGTGGGTACTCAGGAACAGCTGAGGGAGCCTGATACCCAGGACTCAGAGGGAGGCACGGAGGAAAGAAGCCTGGAGGCAGGTGTTAGAGGCGGCTGTGGCCCCAAGCTCTGACTGACACAGCCTCCTAAGTGAGTCTGCTTTTATTGAATGAGTGAATGAAGATTGAGCTGGGAGAACCTTGTCAGGTGAAATTGTGGGGCTCCAATGGGGACACAAGGCTTCTTGGGTGAAGGAAGTCAGAAGCTGGGCTAGGACTTGCCTCATTGGGAAGACTAGCCTCAGAGCAGGCTCAGAGGTAGAGGAGAGGAGGGTTTGGGAGAGAAGGCAGGGGGAGGGGAGCAGGTAGGGCTGGAGGGTAGGAAGTGGGGAAATAGGCTCTAAGCTAGAGGGGTTCCTACAGGACAGGGGCTGGGGCAGGGGGCAGGGGGCAGGGTGTCTGGTCTGCAGGCAGTGAGGGCTTGGAGGCTCAGGCTGGTGGATGGGCTTAGACCCTTGAGCTTATGATCAGCTTAGGCCTCAGAGATTTGGGCTTCCAGACCATCTGCTTTATCCAAAGACTTTTGGCTGATGAGGATCTGGGAGGCTCAAACAACATCTTGTCTGGGTCGGGGACAAGTGACTTGAAGTGCACGCTCTTTCTTGGCAGGTGAGAGGGGCTGAGTTTGCACTGGGCTGGGATCTAGTCTTGGAATTATTGAGGTTAGGCACCAGGCAGGCCTTCCTGATAACCCTGTAGTGATGATGACGACGATAAGAATAATAATAATAGTAATAATAATAATAAATGTATTGTGTTCATTATGTGCCAGGCAGTGTATTAAAATATCTTATATGGATTATTTTTGTAGTGCTCACAATAATCGTATAAGGTAGGGACTAGTATTATACCCATTTTGTGGATGGGGAAACTAAGACTCAAGGAGTCTTGCCTAAGGCCCCAGCATGGAAGCAGCAAAGCCGGGATCAGAGCTGGAGTCCAGCAGTCTCCAGAGCCCTTCCCTTGACCACTAGGGTACATTCTTCCCTGACCGGACCTGGAGTTTCTTGAAAACTTCTACCTGTGTTGTTATGTGGAACAATAACTTTGCTTCCCAAATCTTCCTTTCTCTCCCTTCTCCGTGCTCTGACTCCGGTTTCCTCTGTAGACAGACCCTTATCCAAGGGCAAAGATTGTGCCTCTCCCATCAGCCTAGACTCGTGATGAGGGGGGTGCAGTGAATATACGGTGAGCGATGAGGGGCCTGAGTTGAGGGACATGGCAGGGAAGAAGGTAGAACCTGAGGTTGTGGAGGGCACAGAGGAGGGAGTTGGGGGAGCCCATGGGATTTGCAATCCCAGCTGCGGAATCCTTTCCAGGACCAGGTGTCTCCCGGGCGGGATGGCCCAGGAGCTCAGTGAGAAGGAGTTGTTGAGGATGCAGGTGGAGCAGCTGAAGAAGGAAGTGAAGAACCCTAGAGCTCCGGTGAGCCTCCTCTTCCCTTCCCCGCTCCTCTTCTCCATCCCTCCCTGCGCCTCGTGGAGCCGGGACACGAAGGAGGGGGTGATGGACAACAGGGGGGGTGGGACCTCGCCAGGGCAGTAGAAGGAGCGGGTGGTGCCTCTGGGATGGAGTAGGATGTGGAAGGAGGCTGGAATTTGACCCAGTGGTGGTGTATAGGAGAGAGCCCCAGAGTCTGGAGGGCGGTGTGTCCAGCCCTGTCTCTGGGCAGGGCCTGGCCAAGTGTCCCCTTGGAGGTAAGAGTTGGGCTTTGTGGTTCTGGTCAAGGAACTCACACCCCTCTCCCACTTGCCTGTCCTTTTCATTTTTCTCCTCTCTGACCTTTGTCCCCACCCTGCCCTAAAGCCTGTTTTCTTGGGACTGACCTAGTCATGGACCCTGAGCAACAAACAAGAGCTAGAACCATACTTTGCTTTCTCGCAGATTTCCAAGACAGGAAAGGAAATCAAGGAGTATGTGGAGGCCGAAGCAGGAAATGACCCTCTTCTCAAAGGCGTCCCTGAGGACAAGAATCCCTTCAAGGAGAAAGGCTCTTGTGTGATAAGCTGATGGCTCCGGCAGCCCTCACTGGAATGTCTGTCCCTCCTCAGACCCACTCCTCACCCAGAACGAAGTGTCCTGGGACACCCATGGAACCTGTGAATTTTCAGCTTCTCTTAGTCACAGAATGAGTAAAGATACCTGGCTGCATGCATTGCGAGTCTATTCCCCAAACCCACTTTCAACTCTTTTCTCCCATTATCTCCTCCACCTGCTGGGTGCCTCCTGACCCCACTTGGAAACACTCTGAGCTTCCCTAGCTTGGCAGTTGGCACCTGGTGTAGTGGGATCTGAAGAGCCTGCAATATTCTGAGACCCCAGATGGCAGTCCTTAGGAAACATTTACTCCTCCTTAGAACCCCTCCCACCTTTCCCCTCCACTGTCCTCCAAGCATTTCCATCAGAGTAGTTTGGGTTGGGAGCCGGAGTTTGGGGGTCCTTTTTCCCCAACTCATGTCCGATCCAGTGGTCCTCCTCTTAGTCATTTCGCTTACCCCAGATGGCCTGATGACAAAAAGAGTTTGTAAAGTCACAATGTCATGATTTATTTAATGTTATTGAGGGTCTATAATGTGCTGGGAACTAAAGATTGGAGAGACTAATTGGAGACTAATATGGCTCCTATTTTCATGGAATTTAGCAGAGAAGACATGGAACAAAGAGTGTACAATTAAATCAGCAAGCGCTGCTATGGGGAAGGGAAAATCAAAGGTGGTGTAGGGGCACACAGCAGACGGACGTTCAGGGCAATGAACAGGGTCCATGGGAACTGCTGCAGGCTAGTGGGGCAGGGGCAGAACAGGGAGTGGTGAGACATGGAGCTGGAGAGGGAGGTGGGGTCAAGTCTTAAAGGACCTTGCTGTGAGCTCGGTTAAGAACTTTCTTTTTCACCCTCAGGGCAATACAAATCCTATGAAGGTATTTAGGTAGCCGAGGGACAGGCTTTGATTAGCAGAAGGGAGGCTGGATTCTGCTAGGGGCTAGGAGTACAGTGAAGGAGAGGACTGATTCCTCGGCCTTGATAGCAAGGTGATTACTGTCTAAAGGAGACACAGATGGACACTCATGATACAATGCGTTCAGTGCAACCTCAGAGAGGTCTGCATGGAATATGATGGGGACCCGTGGGAGGGCTACCTAATCCACCTCAATGAATGTGTTGGCTCCTGGGAGAGTGGTCAAGAAAGGCCTCTAGAAGGAGGTGATGTCCCAAGCTGAGTCCTAAAGGGTTAAGTTGTAAATGGGTGGATGGATGGCAAATCTGATTGAAGGCACAGTCTAAACAGAGACATAGATATGAGAAAAAGAAAAGAACCAGGGTTTCAATGCAAACATAATCAGGTTGGAGTTGTTGGAATGTCAAGAGAGAGGCCTAGATCCCTAGGATATGCTACTAGAGATGTGGGGGTGGAGGTGATCAGAGGGATCTTGTTTGCTATACTAAACAACCTTATCTGCTGGGAGTGAGCTGGTAATGTTTGCAGTTAGAAAGAAATTGGCTTTCGGTAAGATTGAAAGGGGAAAGAGTGGAGGCAGAGAGACAATGAAGGAGGTGATTGTTAGATCAGGGGAGAATTAGGGCAGTGACTGTAAGTCTAGAGGGGAGGTGGGGTGACGATAAATAAAGTTTTCAGATCTTGACATCTCATTGAGTGATGGGTGAAGGACAGGTTGTCGAGGATGATGTCCAAGTTTCTGGTTTGGGGGATTACTAGATAGGATTGAAAGCAAGTATCTGAAAACAAACCTAACATAATACAGTGATCTGACATAGAGAGGCAGACTCGCTCACCACCCCCTCCCCAGTGGGCCACAGCCCAAGGGTGCGTCCTGCTGCTACTGGTGGGGTCATGGGCCACTGATCAGAATCCAGGATGTCCTGGGGAATGTCCACTCCTTTCCCAATTCCATCCTGACCTCACTTCACCATGCTGCAACCTAGAATAAATTCAGCCACTCTCAATATACTCCACTCAAGAGACAGCAAAGAAGAGGAATGAGAAAGAGAAAATGTTTAAATACAATAATTGTTATTTTTTAAAATGAGGAAGGGTAAATATTCCATATGACTCCAGCAGTAGAAAAGGAAAAACAGATGGGGTTACAGTCCTATGGCCATAGGCCATGTGGCTCTGGCTTCTTTCTACTACTCACCTGGACCTGTTCTCCTGCGTTCAGGCAGAATCTCACTGGGTGGAGTTCTCAGTCCAAGGGGTTGACTCCAACCTTTATTCCTGAGGATTCTGAACCCTTAGCAGGACTCTGAGTAGAGCAGCAGTTTCTTCTGTTCACCTTTACTCAGGGCATGGTGCCCCCGTGTTCTCTTGGCCCCACCCATACCCTTCCTGGCCCCCCTAAGGTGTGGTAACAATCACAGGACCTCTGAGCCTTAAGGTCAGTCATCGGCCCAGTACTCTGACCCCCTTTTCCCTCTGTTTTCCTAGTGCCAGAAGGAGCCTCAAATGGCTGAGGGCAGTGTCAGCTTCCACTTCAGAGGAATTATTATTTTGCTCCCTTGTGGCAGCCTTCCTTCCTTGCGTGCCCAAATCCTCCCATTAGCAAGGTCAGAGGATGAGAATGATCATTCTGAGAGTGGGTCATTGGTGTAACTGGAGCCATCCATCCCCACCTCTATCTCACAGATCCTCGAATTGTTTAGCAACGAAAGCAAAGCACCGTCTGCTGTTACTGGTTCAGTTCAGAGCACATCCAGCAGCCTTTGGACAGCGCCTCATCTTTGCAACATGGTGTCTCCTAGCTGGCACCAAACTGGGGCTTCACCAGGCCAGTCCTTCACTCTCTAAAGCCACTGGCTTCCAGATGCTGGACACATGATGAGATCAGCAAATCCTGTGGACATCAGCCCCTTGTCTTACTTCTTTTTTTTAATTTATTTTATTTTTTATTTATTTATTTTTTGTGAGGAAGACTAGCCCTGAGCTAACATCCGTTGCCGATCCTCCTCTTTTTGCTGAGGAAGCCTGGCCCTGGGCTAACGTCCGTGCCCATCTTCCTCTACTTTATATGGGACGCCCTAACACCGTGGCTTGACAAGCGGTGCCTCGGTCCGTGCCCAGGATCCAAACCTGCAAACCCTGGGCTGGTGAAGCAGAGCACGGGAGCTTAACCGCTGCGCCACTGGGCTGGCCCCTACTTCTTTTTTTTTTTTAATTCAGTAGTTTCATTTTGAAATAATTTTAGATTTACAGAAGAGTTGCGAAGATAGTACAGAGAGTTCCCACATACCTTTCACCTAGCTTCCCCTAATGTTAACATCTTACATAATCCTGGTACTTTCATGAAAACCAAGAAATTAACATCAGCATAAAACTATTTTTTCTTTTTTTTTTTGGTGAGGAAGATCCACCCTGAGCTAACATCTGTGCTAATCCTCTCCTTTTTGCTGAGGAAGACCGGCTCTGAGCTAACATCTATTGCCAATCCTCCTCCTTTTTTCCTTCCCCAAAGCCCCAGTAGATAGTTGTATGTCATAGTTGCACATCCTTCCAGTTGCTGTATGTGGGACGCGGCCACAGCACAGCCGGAGAAGCAGTGCGTCGGTGCGTGCCCAGGATCCGAACCCGGGCCGCCAGTAGCGGAGCACGTGCACTTAACCGCTAAGCCACCGGGCCGGCCCAGCACAATACTATTAATTAAACTCCAGACTCTATTTAGATTTCCCTAACTTTTCCACCAATGTCATCCTTCTGTTCCAGGATCTACCTCACACTTAGTGTCTTTCTTCTTTGGCTGGGAAGAGCTTCCTGGTTGGAGATAGTATGGTCTAGGATTCCATGGCCATCTGGAAGACATTCCATAAGATGGTAGTGTTGGCAGGGACACTATAGGCGGGGAACACAAATCCACTTCCTGAATAAGTGCCTATTCCAGTGAGGACAACTCTCTGTCCCCCCTGTTGAACTGCCACCAGAGAACCGGCTGGTTGCCTCGAGGTCTGGTGCTGTGTGAGGGCTCAGGGTTCTCCCTGTTGCTGGGTCATTGGGCAGTGGTGGAGCTGCACTGGGCTGGATGAAGGAAAGCCCATGCGGTTTCACACGCATAACCTCTATTCCTGCTTTGTTCCATGAGCCCTAGTCAGCCCAGTGGTCATCCCATCTACGGGGTTCCAAAGGGCCTTTTCTGCAGTTGGGGGCCTTCTGGTAAACCTGTTCATGACACTTGAATATTTTCAGTCTCTGTGCTTACCTCAAGGGGACCAGCCACATAGCCCTCCCCAGATTTCTTTGTCATCAGTCCTTCAGTTGCACTCTAAGACCTTGATCATCTGACTAGAATCTTAATTGCTTCTCAGGAATGAGGGAGGAAGGAATTCCTTTCCCCTCTGACTTTCAGGGCCACCCCTGAGAAAGGGGAATCACGGGGATCCAGACACCCAGGTGGGATTAGGGACTGAATTGGGGAAGCGGAGCAAGAAGGGAGAGGAGATGATGAATTGGAGAGATGATTAGGAAGTAAAATTTTCAGGGCTTAGAGATTGAATGAATGAACGTTGGGAGAAAGACAAGAAACCATCAAGGATGACCTCAGTTTCTGTCTCAGATGACTGAGTGAACGGTGGTGTCACCAGCTGGAAAGCCCTCCCCACCAGGTGATTCTAGATGATTCCCCCAGGTTTCCCCTCTGTCCCCTTGTTCCCTGTTGAGAATCATTGATTGGTAGTAGCAAAAATAGTTGAAACTGCTCAAGACATCTACGTGGATCAAGAAGAGAAGAGGGTCAAAAATTGAACTTGGAGAACATCAGCACCTTAGGCTGCGGTGGAGGAAAAACAGCCAGGAAAAGAACCAAGAAGAGGGGCCGGCCTGGTGGCGCAGTGGTGAAGTTCGCACACTCCACTTCGGCAGCCTAGGGTTCGAGGGTTCGGATCCTGGGCATGGACCTACGCACTGCTTATCAAGCCATGCTGTGGCGGCGTCCCATATAAAGTAGAGGAGGATGGGCATAGATGTTAGCCCAGGGCCAGTCTTCCTCAGCAAAAAGAGGAGGATTGGCGACAGATGTTAGCTCAGGGCTAATCTTCCCCACACACACAATAAATAAATAAATAAAAATAGACCATTATAAAGAAAAAAAAAAGCACTAAGATGGGAGGATCAGAGGTATAAGGACGCCAAGCAGAGACTGGATA